TACAAATTTTCCCCGATTTTTGGGTAATTTTGCAAACCTTAAATGTGGGAATTTTTTTTCGACATTTAAACATAAAAGTGACGGGTATCTATAATAAATCTCATCTTAATAGTTTTATGCAATTTTTTGTAAAATTAGGGGGCAACACCATGCATAGATTTTCGTAGAAAGTAATATTTACTAAGGAACCGACCGAATATTTTAAAAGGACCGTGTCTCTGTACATTATATGGACGAAATATATCTGTCGTCATGTAATATATACGTCAGAAGTATCAAAATGGAAAAATCCAAGATGGTCGCCGAGGTTGGCTTTGAACAAAATTTGGAAGATTTTTTTATTTTGGTACATTGTAACCATGCAGCGAGTCCGCTTTTATGGGATGGCATTGAATCTTAGTATTGCCAGCGCTAAAAACTTTCTCCGATTTTAATATTTATGATATTTTAATTAAAAGAGTGTTGAGTGGTTATTATTTATCATAGGTCCTTTACCTACGATAAATAATAACCCTAAAACTTTTATCAAAATTATTTGGAAAACTTTACTATGAAAACCGATGTAAGTTTGATACATCGGTTTTCATAGTAAACTATTAGAAGGAGTTGACAATGTATGGACGAAATGTTTTTGTCACCCGGGTAGCTAAGCCAAAATAAAAAAAAATAAAAAGTCGAAATGGTATATAGAAAGGTAGGTTAGGTTAGGTTTTGTATTGCGACTCTTACAGTAGAAATTATGGCCTCAGAATAATATAGTAAACAAAAAAGTAGGTTAGGTTAGGTTTTGTATTATGATTTCTACATTATAAACTGTGAACCCAAATTAATATAGTATACAGAAAGGTAGGTAATGTGAGGTTTTGTATTGTGCCTATTGCAATAAAAATTAAAGCCACAGGTCGAAATGGTATACTGAAAGTTACGTTTGGTTAGGATTTCTATTGCGACTCTTACAGTAGAAATTATGCCCTCAGAATAATATAGTAAACAAAAAGGTAGGTTAATCTCTACATTAAAAACTTGACCCTAGACTAATATAGTATACAGAAAGGTAGGTTAGGTTAGGTTTTGTATTGTGAACATTACAACATAAAGTTTTGCCACACTGTTACAATTTGAAGTCACATGAATGATTTCGTATCAAAACAGATATTCGAAAAGAAAACCGTCTTCACAAAAAAAATCAGCGACAACGCCTCGCGGGCCTCTTGAGGCCCGCGCACACACACCCTCTAGTTATATATATATAGGTATATATAGGTATAATTCGGTATTTAATATTACTGGTATTAAATATCGAATTGTGTCTTATAGCATCTAACAAAAAATATTTTAAGATTGATTTGTGTTCCAAAGAAAGCAGTACGAGTCCGAAACTCTCCGGAATGTGCCGTAACAGTCATAAATCGCAATTGATTCGCGAGAGAGCATACTGGGCTTGAGTTGGGAACCGAGTGACTTAGGCACAAAGAAAGGGGATTATTCAGTAATCTCAACAGGCGATGTCGAGACACGCGTCTCGAACTCGAGACCGCATTAAACCCACATTAGCTCTCCATCGATTACCACTTGTGACATTTTTGTTCTGTGCCCTACAGTTATCTTGCTGAAAAAGGTTTACTCGGCAAATATAACGAGGGTACAGCTTGACTGTATTAAACTCAATGTGATATTTTATTTCTCTGAAAGAATGGACTATAAATAAACTGGTAGCAGTTCACAGATAACACACTGATCCCATTTCTAACAAAAATAAGTATTATCGCTGAATATACTGTATTTGAAAAATATATTTTGTTGAAATTATACGTGCATTACACGCAGCCATTTATACATAAATGCAAATAACTTAATACCTGCAAACTGCATTTCTTGATAGTGTTACTATTAGGTATTATCAAAAGTGTCTGTTATAATGTACTATTAGGTATCTATACTAATCCACAGGAATACTATAAATGCGAAAGTGTCTGTCTCTTTATTATCTTTTTACAAACAAAAAGTCTAAACGAATCTTAATAAAATTTCATTGTATCACAAAAACGGTGGGACCATCTACTATCTCATAAAATAATATGGAAAAGGGTTAAATAGGGGATGAAAGTTTGTGCAAAAAAGTCGCGGGTATACAAAGAAAAACGATAAACTCCGTCAAAACTGTAAACGATCTACAATCAGGTCAATATGTGATTAAAAATCGATTTATTCGTGAAAGCTCAGTATACATGTGTGGTGGCCTATGAAAACAGATTTAGGACGCACTTGACGGGCATCGCAACATGCTCAGCACAAAGCTACGAAAGCGGCTTAGTATAGAAAAGGGATTAGGGCATAATCTGTAGCGGAGCGGTTGACATACGCCCGAGGCGTACGGATGGGGAATCGCTTGCTTCACCATCAACTGTGTAGTTTAGTTTTTACAATTCTAATAATATAATATTGTTATATTATTTGTCTCTGGCAGTCCGATACAATTAAATGAGAATAATCTATGTAATATAACAACAAATGTACGCGCTTTACATCTTCAATTATTTAAAGAGTGAAATATGTGTTTTGAGATTCAAATGATTCCGCAACATCTCGGAATAAATTATATAGACTTTTTAGAATAGTTTAATAAGTTCTTAATCTAAGGACTTCTCCTTGTGTTGTTTTATAATAATGTTCGTTAAATCGCGGCACCTTTTAGTTGTTGAAACAGCATTGTGCGTCTAAAATAAAATGAAAAGTAGAATAGTCTCAGTTATATTTAATTATTAACAAATTTAGCAATATTGTCTGCATCTATATAGTAAATCTAATATAATATTATATACACATACAGGATATAGGAATATACCCATATTGAAATCTTTATTTTTATTGTGTAGGAAAATATCTTTACAAATCTTCCTGCTATTATTATAAAAGAGACAATAATAACGGAACATTCAATGGGAAGGGATACGCTTGTATAATATTGGAGTTGTAATATTTTTGTTGACTTGGATGGTGTTGTCATATTTATATATCAGTATCGGATGTCCTTATCACAATCCATATGGCATAAACAATAATGTCATGTCTCGTATCTTTACTAAAGCGTTATTATCGCGGTATTATAGGTTCGTTTATGGTCACACGTATGGTGATATTTCTGTTGTACTATATTAATCGGATTTATTCTTATAATTTTATTTAAACCAGCTTTTTCTTCAGAGTTAGTAATGAAATGGAATAGTGAGTGGAAGATGATAGTATGCGCATGAAATCAGGTCTGTATGCTCATCGTAGCATACTCAACAAAAATAGACCACTACGGACCGCGTGGAGGTCGATCTGATATGGTACTTTGCTAGCAATATAAAATTTCAAATACAAATAAAACTAGCAGATATTCGTTATAGTTTCAGGAATTAATTTCTGCGTTAGATATTCATCCCAATAAATTGAATCTACATTTAAAACTGATTAGTTACAAATGTTTACATTCAGTCGAACCAGATTTCTAGGTAAATAAATTTATAACTAACTTTTTTCCAAAGACTTTCAAAATGTTCAGTACCTATTAGCGACTAACGTTTTTCTCTCTCTTTGCTCTCGCTGTCTCGTTTATTTTAACATGAAAAAATCTAAAAAGGTAAATTAAGTAAGTTGCGGAATATTTTTACACCTACTTTACATTATAAAATTAGCAACTACTTTCATGACATTATACTTCTTAAAAGTTTCACATAAAAAGCTTAGTATCATAATGCATGCATTAGCTAATTGCAATATATATCTATCATTAAAAACGCCGATTTTTTAAAATAAAAGTTTTGATATCGCCTATAACGTATAAGTATGTTATATTGGGTTGTAATGAATCGATAATAGGTAATATAATAATATTGAATAATGTAGGTTTTCATAATTTTCAGAAACATACAAAACATATATTTCCTGCAATTAACTGTTTTATGTAAGTATGACATGCTAAATATGAAACAAAGAACTTTATTAGCGAAACAGAAAGAAAACTCTAAACAAAAATTCGTATGACTGTACCCAAATCGCTTTGGCAGCGTGGTAAAATTAGGTAGTAAATCATATGAAATTTATATTTCCAGTATTTAAAAAATTCATATGATTTTTTTTGTTTATTCTGTGCTCCTTTAACGCATATTGATACAGCTTTCACTATCATATCAAGATTTGCTTTCGGAAGGTTTATATGTGTAATACATGCTTACAATTTCTAATGTATACACTACACCCTTTAAAAAAAAGATTTTTTTTTCGCCAATTTTTAGTAAATTTAATAATGTCGTGGTATCGATACTCTTTTTAAATAATACTCCTATACTCTTTTTAAATAAATTAATATCATAATTTCAATTGGAAACTATTGCATTATTGTCCAAACATTTCGGTATTAACCTCATTTGTGGGAGACTCGTCGAAAGCAAACCAATAATCCCGGCTAGCAGGGATTTGTGGAATGGACCGCCTAAGTTAATTAACTTATACAGCTTTCAGAAATATCCCTATTTACTAATCTGTGGGCGTATATTACATTAGGATTACGATAAATGAAGATATAGTTGACGTGCTTGTCTATGGGGCATATAATAATATATATGCATATAGTATTATAGCTCTTTCAGTGTTACTGATACTATACGCTTTATATTAAAGTTTACAATATTTTACATAATTTATGAATGTGAACAACATTGGCAAAATTAAGCAATAAAAAATTACTATATGGCCATTAATTGCGGGCATCCAAGTTGCCCCGCCTCCAAAGATCCCATGATTGGTCGATCTCACACCCACTCATCACTAGAAAGTCATAGTTGATTCATAGTCCGCAATATTTGGTTCCATTGTTTTATTTCGCTTTTAGAAATAATCTAGTGAGTCATCATTTATGTCTACTTTATTTGTGACTGTAAACCTATTAGGATCCTATAAAAGATAGTAAAATTAGTAACTTACTCAATGATAATATGAATGATTAAAATAATTACCTTATGACATTTTTAAACTGCACTCGTATCTCTCATCTGAAAAGAAACAAAATATATAATTTAATATTTTATAAAAATAAATTCTTTCACCAAAATGATTACATATAATTGGCAAAGATATCGCATAAAATACCAGCAACTAAAAAAACGATTATATTGGGAATGTGCTTCGGTTATTCCGTTAAAAATTTAATATCGAGACCGAAAAGTGGCGGCAACATGAATGTCAATAAAAATGTGATAAAAATAACGAGTGCATTCCGTCAATGTGACGGGGAAGGCATGTGTCAAATTGATATAGACTGACTCACTTGTGGAGTGACCATATGTTTAACTATCATACGGAATATCAGTGTTTAAAAAGTCAATATCGATACATGTCATGTCGAAATTAGATATGTTAATAGATTCTGACTTTACATTAGAACCGAAAACGAAATATAATTATTGAGAAAATATATTTTTATATGTTTTCTGTGTATTTTATTTCGTAAAAAATATATATGTACTAGCTATGCGCGACTTCGTCTGCGTAACCTTGACCAAATAAAGAAAAAAATATTAAAAAATCTAAACCAAAATGACAAACAAAAATTTCATCGTTCTAGCTTCAAAAATATCGACTATCCATATAAACTTTCATCTCGCTTTTCAACCCCATACAACACTTATTTCAAATTATGTCCTTTCTTAGAACTATCTGTGTACCCAATTTCATTTAAATCGGTTCAGTAGTTTTAACGTGAAAGCGAAACAGAGTTATTTATGCATTTATATTATTAGTATGGATATACTATCAATTGTGATAAATTAGAATGGGAGAATCATGCAACTAAACCCTACTGATTGTAAGTAATAATCGATATTCTGACTGTATTCAGTTTTCAATGGAATCGATTACGCTTTAATAATTCGGCAGTAGGTACATTACTATCATATCCATTAGAAAACAAATATAATAAACTATTTTAAAATCTGCAAAACAATATTTTTTACACTATTTTGTCTAAAGCAAACTAGGATCTCTTGTCTTTAGAAAAATGGGATAGTACTATCCAAAACAAATATTATTGTCACCAGATTGTAGTGAGTCGTGAGAGTGACCATCGGCCATTTGTGTCCAAATCGCCGATAATGGGGCAGCGCCCACATGCGGGACTATTGACTTACAATAAACGTCACATATTTCTTAATACAAACACTTGCAGACGACAAGTCAATTGGAGTGGTTGCGCGACAGCGGTCGTCCCAAAGCAACACAACCAGTTCTGACGGAAATTCCTGCTTATATTGAGTAAACATATTATTTTTGTTTTAGGTTCGGTCTTGTTTGAGGACAATTTTGCTATAGGTGTATTGTAATATTTGTAATGTTATTGTACTAAACTGTTTAAGATTAATTTATGGATGATAATAGAATGGTGGATTAGCCTGCGCTATCCGTATACGCAGACGAGGCATCAGTGCAGAATGATACGAGTAACTAGCAATGATAGATCGCTAACAGCTAGTCCCCATTACTGGCACCCCTCCCCATCCCCCCTTGAACTTTATTGTATTATGGATAGAATATAAAAATGTTTTATCTTAAATGTAGTCTTTATTGTTCATATTTTATAGAAGTAACTTACATATTTATACACAATAGCAGACTTACGTATGTTCTTATTACAATAGTACAAATTCAATTACTACTATACTTTTCAGGTAGTGGAAAAGACCGAGTTTATTTATATTTTATTATATATTATAAAGATTCCGAACCTAGGTGAGAAGACAATTGCGAGCGGTGATTTATACTTCTGTCACCAACTTACTGACACTGAGTATAAAGCATCCGTAAATAACTAGATCTCTGGCTCCCTCTGAGCTATACTGCCATCAGAAAAGAGGAATTTAACAAATAGACACTGGAAAATGCGTTACTGGCACATTAAAATAAGACTACTTAACAGTATTCTTAAGACTATATATGTTTGTATGTCTTAATAATACTTGTACAGATGAAAAAATTAAAAAAAAATGTTATCTAGATAAACTAATTTAGTCGCAACATTTTGTTTGAAAATACCAACTCAATTGTCTTACTACATACGGTTCAAAACAAATACTTTCCTTGTGAGTAACAAATTCTCGACCTTTATCCATAAAGTTAGGTCTAATACATTAGTATCGAGAAGGGGTTTTAAATGAAATGAAGGTCGGTAAAAGACACCGAAAACTTTAACATATATCTCTCTTTAAATACTAAATGTAAGTATCAATGACAATTTGCTGATTGGCTTGTACAAATTCGTTTGTGTTTGTACCTCAGTTTTTAAATTTGAAGGGTGAGAGAGGTATTCGGGTTGAGAATTAATGTGAGGAACCACGGGCGGTCTAAGATATTTTGTGATTAATTTGATGTGAAACCGACATATAGTAACACTTGCACTCAACTAGTTTGTCATACCAATTATATTTATAAAAAATTGAAATACTTTTGCATGACTAAGTGATACTACAAATATCTGATAAACAGGAGTACTACCGCTTTGCGCATAAGTTTTAATATTAAATTAATGAGTAATTCAATGATATCAATTCTAAAAATATAAGCGTAATTGAATTAAATATTTTTAATTTAATATTAACTGAATATAAATTTAATTTAATATAATAACAAGCTAGTGAAATGGATTTTCACAAAAGAGCTATTTCAATAAAATTTATGAAATAATGTCTTAGTGTGATAATATTTTTATTCATTTACGTTCCGGAGAAAGATAGATATATTAATATTCCAAGCATGAATCCAAGCATGAATAGGATTTCATAGATCGTAGAACGTCACGCTGTCGTCAGTCGCAGTTGTCGCTACATTACAGTTTCGATCTGTTTGAAAACGAAGACTGATATTGGTAGATATATTCAATCCTCTGATCATGTATTTAATAACACCATGTAGATAGTTATGTTATTTACAATCAGTTGTTATAGAGGGTGTTTTCTTTTTTTCAAACGTATTTAACGGAGTAGTGAGATGGCACGGCATACGCTAACGGTATACGCTGGCGGGGTATCCGTGGAGGATAACATGAACATGATGTCAGTTTACCCATGAATTTACCAGAAATTGAGTACAATGGTTTCCAGGGCACCGCGTGGAGGTCAACCTGATATGGTGCTTTGCTAGTTTAATTAGTTTAATCCACGTTACTAACAATTTAATAATTGTATAGAGGGTTTTATTATACTGTCGAATAACACATAGCTAATGTCTTTGTAATAAATAATTTAATAATTGTCGCTAATCTACTAGTACAGGTAAATAATTTTATGTTTTATTATATTTTGTACATTATTACACACAACACAATACTAATAAAAATTACACTAATATTATATTACTATATATCCAGTGTTGCCTTAACTGCGGCGTTGACAGTTGACAATGCTTCTGTCTACCCCGTCTGAGGTAACAGCCTTAACGGTATATTATTACTAATACTAACTGTCATATGTTATGTAAATTGCTATGAGAACTTACTTTAAAAAAACGTATGTACAATCCATACCTATAATAAATTTGTATTTACTATATTATATATTTATCTATGCGAAAACTTATTGACATGAAGTATAGTTTTTTTAAAGATTAGTGAAGAATTCAGTAACAATAGATGGTATCGGTCGTTTCATTATTCATCTCTCAGTTTCCCAGACGACAGTTCATTATCATTTTAAATTATGTAATGAATTTGCAAGAACCTCATTGCAAATTCAACTTGGCCTTGTAATCCTAAAAACTTATCTTGGATTGATTTTATTTTAATGTAATTATAGATACATATATATATTAAATTCAAGAGGAAGGTTTATATGTAATAAACCTTCCTCTTGAAACATTAAAATCAGTTGCGTAGTTTAAAAGATCTATGCGAACAGACAGCGAAAGCAAATTCATTTTAAACTATGTAAAGACTAATTGTGTAATTTAGCTGCAAATAAGTTAATATGTACACGAGTCAGTATCTATCTATATCACATCAAACCTATTCATTTAATATCAATTATAGTAGCGTAAATGAAATAACATACTTTATTTATACAACCTAATTTAAAAGCATTGTATTTCTAAATATAGTAATGTATTTTTAAAAGCATAATTTAGAGTAAAAATGTTACCTGACTGAGGTAGCATAATTAGGTTGGTGCCAGATAAGCTTTTTAATTTGGGCCGGCGTTGGCAAGCTTCGGCCGTTTGTACATTTAAAGACAAATCGTTGTAGATTATTGCAATTACTTATTTAAAACATATGTATACATAAGACAATATTTAATTTAGGTACTCATATAATATTATAACTACTTTGTAAAGATTTTAAGTATAAAAATATGTTTTTTGATAACGGAAATTAGCTGTTGAATCATTGGAAAATAGAAATTGTTAACATGACCGTCCTTTTGAATAGTCAACCTTTAGTATTAAACTTACAATACAACTTAATATAGACTTACCATTGTCCAAAAAATATATAATATAATTTACCGTCTACTTCATAAAAGAGATTTTTCAATTTTAATCGACAGTGTATAATCTTATGCCGGTTTATACGAGTTTTATTATGATTGTAATCTGTCTCATTTGTAAGGCAATATGTTAATTATCTGAAACTCAAACAAAGGTAGAAATAGCTACTACATATATAAGATATTTTTTATATATCAGTATATTATGTAGATCATGTGAAAATATAGACAAATAAATACTACAGAACATCAACAGCAAATGTTATCTACGACAAGCCGAGTTGAATTTATTGTGTTACAAATTCGAACCCGCCATTTCGTTTCTTTACGTAAATTCATGATGACGTTACATATCCTTTATCTGTCTTTGAATTACGAATACCTCTGTCAATTTTCATCCAAATCGTCTTGGCATTTTAATCGTGAGAACGAATCGTCTAGACATTCAAAGATATAATAAATGTAAGTGTCATGTTTGTCATGCCATGTGTTTTATTTCTTTAGTGACTTTTGAAGTTTATGTAATCTTAA